GAAGTTGTTAAGAATTTCATTTTACTTACATATACAATCAGTACTCATGGAAGGAGCAGTCAAGAAATAAATGTATTGCATTGGGCAAGTCCGCTGCAAAGGATTTCTTTAAATTGTTAAATAGCAAAATGTGACTTTGAGTAAGAAGGTGCTCCTGACACAAGCTATCATAGTTGTAGTCACCTCATTTGCATGTGAAAGCTACGCACAGAGTAAGGAAAACAAGAAAATAATTGATGCATTTGAATCTTGGTGTTGGTGAAGAATATTGAATGTACCAGAAGAACAAACACATCTGTTTTGGAAAAACTACAACCAGAATGCTCTTTAGACATGAGGATGATGAGCTTTTATCTCACAAACTTTGGCCATGTTTTCAGGGAGGACTAGTCCCTTGGTAATGATATGCTTGGTAGTGTGGAGGGTCATTAAAAAAGAGGAAGACCCCAAATTAGGCGGATAGACATAGTGGCTCCAGCAGTGGTCTGAAACAACAAATATTGTGAGGATGTTGCCAGAACCCGGTAGTATTTTCTTCTGTGTGCATGGAGTCAGTATGAATTGAAACTGACTGGATGACACCTAACAATAGCATCGTTTCTTTGCCTTATTAAGAGCCTTTTTTCTCATCGGATATATATAGCATTCATCAATATTGAATTTTTATGTAACAAGAAATACTTGTACCACAGTGCTAAGTAGTCAGACCACATCAGAATGATTACTTCTGGATGCCATGCTTTGAGTGTACACTAGTGGTAACAACATAACGTGTGTAATGTTCAGTGAATCTCACTAGCCATATAACCTGAAACTCACGCAAAATACTTAGAGAAGATAGTTGACAAGAGAGAAAACTATGTCAAGACTTGAATGTTGTTGCTGTTGTTTGGTGCTTTTGAGTGGCTTCAGACTCATAGCAACTCCTATGCACAAAACAATTAAAACCATGCCCAGCCCTGCGCCCTATTCACGGTGCCAGGACACTTGAGCCCATTGTTGCTGCCATTAGATCATTCCATTTCCTCTTGAGTTTTCCTTCTTTCACTGATCCTATACTTTGACAAATATGTTGTCCTTCTCTAGGGATTGGTCCCTCCTGGCAACATGTCTGAAGTTTGAGAGACGAAGTCTAACCATCCTGGCTTCTCAGAAACATTCTGGCTGTATTTCTTCCAACAGATTTGTTTGTTCTTTTGGAAGTCCATGCTGCTTTTAATATTCTCCTTCAACACCATAATTCAAATGCATCCATTCTTCTACAGCCTTTCTTATTTGCTGTTTAATTTTCACATGCATACAAGGCTACTGAAAATACCAGGGCTTGAGTCAGGCGTACCTTAGTCCTTAAAGTGACATCTTTGATCTTGAACAATTTAAAGAAGTCTTGTGCAGACAATTTGCC